GCCAAGAGAAATGCAATAAAGGTCAACCCCAAGCAAGGATTTAGCTTAGGCATGGTATGAAGGAGGTCTAAAAGAGAAATGACAAGTCTTGAGATCTGGCAAAGCACACAGAGGACAGAAAAGCAGTGGGATTTGGACACCAGAGGCAGAACAGCCACCCACAGGTGAGTTATTCAGCACAGAATGACCATAAGCACATTTACAAAATTCTATCATAAGACAAGCCTCCATTTCACTAATCATTTGAGAGGCACAGTCTGGCTCTGGGGCTCCCAGAATAAACTGGGAAACTGAGAACTATGCTGTAGAATTCAGGGTCTTGCAGAAGACCCTCTCCTAGTGCCTTTACCTGTAAAATGGGGAGGGGAAGTTACCTGCTCCTTGGTGAAACAAGTTATACGAGTTAGAATCGTGTTTTCCAAGGACAATTCTCTCTCAGTTCAGGCAAAGCAACCTACTGATAGAGCAAGCCAGGGACCACCACCTTCATTATACCAGTTAACAGTGATAAGCTCTGATGTAATTTCTCCCTTGAAGATAATTATTTCAACAATCAGATGACATTACCATTATCAACACTCAACCAAGTATCTCAGCATGAAGGAGGGAGTCCCAACACCAGTGGAAACCCAAAAATACAAAACCTCTGACAAAGGGGTTCATGGGGGCCATCCTCCTGATGACAATTCTCCCTGAATCTCAGAGGCCCCACTACTCTTCTTGGCTGATCAAAATTCATTTTCTCCTACTTGCTGATTATTCTAGCTTTCTATTACTGTACAACAACTTCTCAAACAAGTGACTTAAAAACAACCATTTGCTTTTGTTCATAACTTTGTGGTTCAGGAATTTGAGAAGGGCTTATATAAGTAGTCCTTGCTTGGGGTTGAAGTCACACGCCAGCTGGAGTTGTAGTCCTCTGATGGCTCAACTGGACTGGACATCCAAGATGGCACACACATAGGCTGGCACTGACACTGCTACTGGCCGGGAGCTCAGCTGGGGATGTTGGCTAGAGCACCTACCTGTGGCCTCTCCAGGATGGCAGTCTCGAGATGCTCAGACTTCTAATATGGCAACTGGCTTCTTCCAGAGTGTCCCAGGAAAGTCAAGCAGGAGCTGCAAGGCCTTCTATGTCCTAGTTTTGGAAGTCTCTTCCACCATACACTATTAGTCGACACAATCACAAGCAATCAGATTCAAGGGAAGGGGCATAGACATCACCTCCTGATAACAGGAGTGTCAAAGATTTTGAAGGCTGTGTTTTAAAACTTCCTATGATATGTTGAATTGTGTTCTCCCAAAAGATGTTGAAATCCTAACCTGCAGTATCTGTGAGTGTACCTTATTGGAAATAAAGTCTTTACAGATGATCAAGTTAAAATGAGGTCATCGGGAGGAGCCCTAATCCAAAGTGATTACATCTTTATAAAAAGGAGAAAGTTGGACACAGAGACAGACATGTCCTGAGGGAGAACATCGTGTGAAGGTGAAGGTGGTGATCAGGTGATGCATCTACAAACCAAGGGATACCAAAGATTGCCACGAAACTACCAGGAGCTAGGAGAGAGGCATGGAACAGGTTCTCCACACAGCCTTCGAAGGAACCAACCCTGCTAATACCTTGATTTCAGACTTTTAGCCTCCAGAATTGTGAGACAATGCATTTCTGCCATTTAAGTGTAGGGTACTTTGTTATGGAAGCCCTGGAACACTAATACATTCTCATACTGGCTAAAGGAATCCTGAGTTTAAGAGGGCAACAAGCCCAAGTGAAAACATATTTTCCCAAACTCCCTTGCTGCTTAGCGATAGCCATGTGACACTAACCTGCCAGGGATTTCTGGAAAAGCCTTGCTTATACAATAAAAGGCCATCTTTTTTTCTGTCTCAATTTTTCCTTCTTACTGTCTGTCATGTGGACGTGCGGTATCAAAACAGATCAGGCGGTATCAAAACAGATCAGCCATCTTGCGACTGCTTGTGAGGACAGAAGCAGATCAGGAAGACGGAAGGAACCTGAGTCTCTGAGAGCAGCCCTCTCAGCTTCACAAACAAGTCTCCATTGATTGTGGACCTCTCGTGTTCCAGGCACTATTCTAGGTGCTGGGGACACTGACTCCCCATCCTCCTCTGGTGATCTGTCCTTAACTTCATAGGTAGATCATTTCAACTTACCAAGATAAATGCAGGAATAAAAGTGTAGATGTGATGTTATGAACTCCCACAGGGAAGCCTCCTACCCAGCCTGCCGGAAGAGCTTCCTGGAGCTCCCCACAGGGAGGAACACAAGAGATGTGCAGCCTTAAAAATCTATCAGCCTCTGGGGAATGTCCTCCTCTCCTTAACAAGAAACACACCTTCCTGGTATATCAGATGATCAGATCAGGGCTCTCAGAAGCCCCGAGTGCTGAGCACAGCGCAGCTCGGGCTGCCTGCAGTTCTCATGGCAGCTGCTACCTCAGGATGCCTAGCAACCAGCCTGTCCTGGGAGACACCCCAGGCTGCCACGGAGTAACCAAGCTGCCCGTGTTCTCAAGAGGGCTAATCAACGCAAACCTGAAAGAAGACACACCATGGATAAAACCGAGCCAACACAGAACCTGGCTGCTTGCTAACTTCCCTTCTGTAGGCCCTGCAGTCATCCCATTTCTCATCATCAATCACCAAAATCCAGAGTCAGAAGACTCAGCTGCAACAGCAACATGACTTCCAGGGTTTTCTGCAGAAAACTAGGATACTAGGTTTCTTGCTGAACTGGGTATGGCTTTCCTCATGCCATAGGTAACCCAGCCAGATTATCAGTGTGGACCTAAGGAGCCTAAGAGAGGAGGTTAACTGACAAAGTTCACCACTCTCCAGAACTTCTGCCAGTCCAAGGACATTGACACCCTCCATAGCACTAGCCAACATGTACGCCTCTTTCAGAAGCAACAGTTTAGCCGAACCTGTGGGAAAACTCTGCTCATGACTTCGCTTCCAGAACCTCACCTCCCTCCGAGAATAAGTATAAGTGAGGTCCTCTGAACAACAGAAGGATGAATGTGGGTTTCCATAGTCCCTTGGCCAAGAAATGTAAAGATAATGAAGGCCAGAGTGAGGTCAAATGTCAGCCACACAGACCTGTCTTGCAATCTCTAGTTGTATAGCCTCGCACAAGTTACTGACACTCTCTGAGCCACAATTTGTTCAACTATAAAATGAGATAATAAAGCCACTATAGTCATTGAGAGGATTAAACAAGAACATTTTATATACAGTGTTGTCATGAGAAAGACTTGGGACTGTAACGCCTGCTCCTGCCTCCCAAACTGGGAAGGTGCTAAGAGACCAAAGAATGACTCGGACAAGTCCAGCTTGGCGAGTAGATGACTTTATTAAGACTAGATATGGGACACTCCTGGGTGGCAGCAGGACAGCTGTAGAGCTCTATATCACTTTCTGTCTCTAAGGTCCTTTAAACTGATTTTCTGGCTCTTTGCCTACTCTGTGCGTGTGTGTGATGGGACTGTTTTTCTTGGTAGGTTTTCAGATACCCTCTGGCATGTCTGGGTTCTTGGGAACACCTGTCCCTCAGCTGGGTAACATGGCCTTGACTCCCAGCCTAGCCTTTAGGGCTTAAGCGGCTGGCATGTACCCTTAAGTAACCTGGTGGGGAACACGCCACAATACGAGTGTCTAGCATGCTACCTGGCACGTAGCAGTAGGGATTTGACGACCAGCGGTCTCCTTTCCTCCTTCCCTTGTCAAAGCTGTGATTTCTGAAGTCTTCTGGGGAAAGAAGCCATGAGGGATTGATTGGAGATGCCCTTCTGTGTCCCTTGCAGAATGAAATTCATGTTGTCTCCTATATATGTACCCCACAGCATGTGCCATGGTGCTTACCTGTGGTACACACCCGGAGATACAGTAATGAAAGAGTAAAGACGAGCAAAGGGAGAGCAAAGGTGGAGGATGAGAAAGACAGTCTCATCCAAATGGCATTTGCTGTTCAAGAACACTTTTGAAGCTGGGATAAAACCAGTGGTGCAGTGAGCTAGCAACAAAATTCAGCTCTCCCTAGCATGCTGAATACAGCCCCAAATTTTCCCCACAGGCAGAGTGAAAGTAAACTGCAGCATTCGCCAGACTTTGGAAGGATAGTGGGCAGAGGGCAGCAGCAGGCACACTGGAAAGGGAGCCTCAAGCCCTCAGGACATTCACATGTAGCCAAGCCCTTCCTCTGCTAGCCTTCTCTGCTTATCCTGACACATGGTTCCTTTTCCCTTGTCATTTTCACCACCATCATCTCAGCCCTCGCCATCTCTCCTCCCCAACCCTAAGCACCTCTGTCCAAGCTGCTCTGCCAGCCTCCTCCATGCCTCTCAGATTCATTGTCCTCATGGCATCTGATGATGGCAAACCACTCACATTTGTAAGACTTTTTAAATAATACTCATAATGTTTAATCATAAGAAAATTTGACAACTAAAAATGAGTTCCCTCGCAAATTTTAATGGAACCACATCCCCAGAGATAAGGAAATCAAGGCAGGGAGAGACTCAGTCACTTTTGTAGGAATACTCATCTATAAAGCAGTAGATTCAGGAGTCAATGTCAAGCAGCCTCTTCCAAAGATGTGTTCCTAACCACTGTGTATACTGCCTCTGAGATAAAAACAAAATTGAAAGGGAGGTTTGGGGTCACGTTGTAGATCATGGATCAAACGCCATCCTCAGAAATTTTTATCTTGTTCTATTGGCATAAAAAGTCATTGCAGGCTCAGGGGAAGAGTATGGTAAAACCAGAACTGTCTTACAGGAGACGGGGGCACCACCTTTCTGGAGGGCAATATGGTTAGTGGTATGAACACAAAGGCCTACAAGGAGCTTTCTGATGTATTAATCTCAGTTTTAAACATTTATATGCAGAAAATAATTGGAGAAATGTATAAGAATATTTGTATGGGTATGAGTGCTCATGGCAATAATATTTCAAATAGCAAGAAAAAAAGAGGATCTGTGCTTGCTTCAGTAGCACATATACTAGAATTAGAAAGATACCGAGAAGATTAGTATGGCCCCTGCATAAGGACGACACACAAATTTGTGAAGTGTTCCATATTTTTACAAACCTGACAAAAATAAGCAATGGGGAAAGGATTCCCTATTTAATAAATGGTGTTGGGAAAACTGGCTAGCCATATGCAGAAAACTGAAACTGGACGCCTTCCTTACACCTGATACAAAAATTAACTCAAGATGGATTCAAGACGTAAATGTAAGACCTAAAACCATAAAAACCCCAGAAGAAAACCTAGGCAATACCATTCAGGACATAGGCATGGGCAAACACTTCATGACTAAAACACCAAAAACAATGGCAACAAAAGTCAAAATTGACAAATGGGATCTAATTAAACTAAAGAGCTTCTGCACAGCAAAAGAAACTATCATCAGAATGAACAGGAGATGATACAGAATGGGAGACAATGTTTGCAATCTATCCATCTGACAAAGGGATAATACCCAGAATCTACAAGGAACTTAAACAAAGTTACAAGAAAAAAACAAACAACCCCATCAAAAAGTGGGTGAAGGATATGAACAGACACTTCTCAAAAGAAGACATTTATGCAGCCAACAAACATATGAAAAAAAGTTCACCATCACTGGTCATTAGAGAAATGAAAATCAAAACCACAATGAGATACCATCTCACACCAGTTAGAATGGTTATCATTACAAAGGCAGGAAACAACAGATGCTGGAGAGGCTGTAGAGAAATAGGAATGCTTCTACACTGTTGCTGGGAGGGTAAACTAGTTCAACCATTGTGGAAGACAGTGTGGCAATTCTTCAAGGATCTAGAACCAGAAACACCATTTGACTCAGCAATCCCATTACTGGGTATATACCCAAAGGATTATAAATAATTCTACTATAAAGACACATGCACACATATGTTTATTGCAGCACTATTCACAATAGCAAAGACTTGGAACCAACTCAAATGCCCATCAATGATAGACTGGATAGAGAAAATGTGGCACATATACACCATGGAATACTATGCAGCCATAAAAAACAATGAGTTCATGTCCTTTGCAAGAACATGGATGAAGCGGGAAACCATCATTCTCAGCAAACTAACACAGGAACAGAAAACCAAGCACCGCACGTTCTCACTTATGAGGGGGAGTTGAACAATGAGAACACACGGACACAGGGAGGAGAACATCACACACTGGGGCCTGTCAGCGGGTGGGAGGCTAGGGGAGGGATAGCATTAGGAGAAATACCTAATGTAGATGATGGGTTGATGGGTGCAGCAAATCACCATGGCACATATATACCTATGTAACAAACCTGCACATTCTGCACATATATCGCAGAACTTAAAGCATAATAAAAATTTTTTTAAAAAGAAAAAAAGAGGATCTAATCTATATGTCCACAGTCATCTGCACATTCCAGGCATTTCCACACCTTCATATTACCACCTTGCTGATGTTCAGCCTGCAATGCCCTTGTCCCACTTCTCTATTCAGTAAATTCCCCCTCAGCCTTCATGGCCCAAGGCAAATCCCTCCACCTCCATGTACACCTTCCTGGATCCCCTGAGTTGAAATTGATTACCCCTCCCTCCTGTGGCTCCAGATTGCTTTACCAGCACACCAAGTATATCTCTTTCATTTTCCTTTGTTTTGGGTTTTATCAGTATCTGGCTTTCACCCTAGGCAGTCTCTGTCCTCATATAGCCCTTTATGTGTAACCTCCCACTCCCTGCCCCATGCTGCCTGAAACATAGCAGGTACTCACTGACACCGAATTGAATTGTTTATGCCTTTACTTATACAGTGCATCATAATTTAGAAAGCACATTCAGATATTAACCTTTGATTTTTACCACATTAAAAAGCAGCACAAGTAAATATTTTGCTCACATTTTAGAGGCAAGAAAACTGGGGCTCATAATGGAGTTTTCCAAAGGCCACACAGACAGTGAGGATAGATGCAGGTGTAACTTTGGCCTTCTGACTTGAATGCAGTGACCTTTCCATGACACTAAGTGGGGAATGGGCCCTGAGGCACCTTATAGCAGACTTCCCAGCCACCTTCAGTGTGAGGAGACCTTATGATGTCCAAGGAAGTAGGAAGAGATCTTCTAAGGAGTCAGACCTCTTGAGACGAAGCAATTTATTCACCTCCCATCCTATCATTGCTCTTCACACAACCCTTCAAGGCTGGTTCAGAACCTAAGTTCATCCCCAGTCCATACACCCAGCCTCAATTTTTGAACTGGTTCAGAGTGGCCTAACTCATTGCTAGGGCTCTTAGAAGCCCCCATCTTCCGTGTCCATCAGGCAACCCCCTTAGCACCTATATAAGTTTGCTTTCTCCAATACCCTCACCTAACTTTGGCCCATGCCTAAACCTGGACTTTACTCCTCAGCGTGGCCTGAGACACCAGCAAAGCAAAACAACTTTCCTCCAGGCTAAGACAGACCCCGCCCTACACCAACTCATGGCCTCTCAGATCAGGTCCTCAAAGTGCTCCTATGCCTATATGCCTCGGAAGACTACTCCAATTGCCCTATAAAAAAAACCCAGCACATTGTCTGAGAACCTTTCCAATCACTCAGATACATGAGAAGACTTTTCATCCTGTATGCAAAAGGATTTCAAGGGATTCAATTTTCAGAATTTCTCTCCTGAAGTCTGCCTGAGGACACACTTGTGATGGACAGGCAGACCCACCTTTCCTACTTCCCTTTTCACAATGTCCCTCCCCAACTCTACTGAATAAAAGACTCACCTCTCACCCTTCCAGAATCTGCCACTGGTGCACGGCCCTGGGCACTAAAAATGTTTTAGGTATCAAACAGAGGGATAATTTCACATTTGGGCTAGCACTGACAATGCAAATAACTCTAACCACTGTGTCCAATTCTTTATTTTCACCAAAACTGCTGCGAGACCTATGAGTGCCATCAGCTGATCATTAAAATTAATTTTTGAACTAGGCATGGTGGCTCACACCTGTAATCCCGGCACACTGAGAGGTCAAAGCAGGAGGATCGCTTGAGCCTAGGAATTTGAGGCCAGCCTAGGCAAAATAGTGAGACCCTGTCTCTATAAAAAAATTTTTTAAAAAGTTAACCAGGCATGGTGGTGCATGCCTGTAGTCTCAGCTACTTGGGAGGCTGAGGTAGAAGAATTGCTTGAGCCTGGGAAGTCAAGGCTGCAGTGAGCCAAGATTGTACCACTTCTCTCTAGCCTGGGTGACAGAGCAAGACCCTGCCTCCAAAAAAATTTGTAATAGTTTACTATAGCATATTTGACATAAGATGCAGAAGGAGTTTAAAAACCAAAATGATGTTACCATAATAAAATTCTTTCTACTCCAATATGCATATTTATGTGAACAAGCACTTAAACCTGTAAGTATGAAAAATGGGAATATAGTGTGATGCTGAACTCTTTCTATCAATAAGTGACATTCATCCACAGATATAGCTTATAAAGAGACGCATTTCCAATGAAATTTTACTTTTATATTTAATAATTATTTCATTGATCAAAATTGCATATATATTTGTGTTGTTTGATATATAATAATGATAAACAATAATACAGTAAAGATAACTCAATTGGGTGCTATAAATGTAGTACTGGTAACTTCATTAAGAAGAAATTTTTCTTAACACTTACAGTCTTATTGTCCCTAATTTATTTTCTGTGACATGAAAATCTCCCCTGAAATCTAGGCATGTTTATCCAGTTGCTTATGCAATACTTCTACTGGGATGTCTAATAGATATCTCAAACTTGACATGTCCAGAATCATACTTCTGATACGCCTTCTCAAACTAGCTCTTCCTACTCGCTTCCCCGGTTCACTGAAGGCATTCTCCTTCTAGCTGCTCAGATTGAAAACCTTAGCGTTGTCCTTGACTCCAGAGGCTGCCATGAGAATGTGTCTCACAGGCTTCCTACACAGGAAATGTAATTGACAAAAAGCCCCAGATGCTGTGCTTGCAATCCATCATGGCATTCATACTGAAGCGACCTCTTCTAGTGGCTGCTCCCTACCAACAGTTGACTGTGGCAGGGATGCTAAGACCTATTCCTGGAAGACACAGGAATCCTTTGTTGGCCAACTGTGTGACTCAAGAATTCTCCAAAGGCTTTGCAAAATCTTCCTTAGACTGCATGGTGGTTTTGGACTCTTCCACCCAACCTTTTCTTCCTCTCTCCCTCATCAAGGGTAAGACTTCTATCATGGTCTGATGACTCTCCCAGATTTCCCTGGTTCCTTTCCTGTTTCCTTTTCACACAGGAAATAATAATAATAAAATGCTTACATGCTTAATTGCATCTGGACGTCTGCTTCTCAGAAGACACAGATTAACACAACTCTTCTCTTTCTCTCTCATACTTCATATCCAACCAGCAAACCCCATCATCTGTCTTGAAAATACAGTTGATCCTTGAACAGCCTGGGTTTGAACTGCATGGGTCCACTTAGACACAGATTTTCTTCTGCTTCTGCCACCCCTTGAAACAGCAAGGTGAACCCCTCCTCTTCCTCCTGCTCCTCAACCTACTCAACATGAAGACAACAAGGATGAAGACCTCTAAGATAATCCACTTACACTTAATAAATAGTAAATACATTTTCTCTTTCTTATGATTTTCTTAATAACATTTTCTTTTCTCTAGCTTACTTTATTATAAGAATACAGTGTATTATATATAACATACAAACTATGTGTTAATTGACTATATTATCTGTAAGGTTTCTGCTCAACAGTAGGCTATTATTAGTTAAATTTAGGGGGAGTCAAAGTTGCACGAGGATTTTTGACTGTGTTGGGGGCTCAGTGCCCCTAACTTCCACATTGTTCAAGGTCTACTGTTTAACCAGGATCCAACCACTTCTCACTATCATCAATCTGGTTCAAGCCATCATCATTTCTCACCGGAATTATGGCAACAGGCTTCTGTATCAGTCAGTGTGGTACATTAAAAAAGGCCATAAATTCATTGTGCTCCTCTCTACTCCCTTGAATCTAGGCTTGCCCTCTCATTGCTTTCACCAATTGCATATAGAAGTGATACTGTG